TATATATATATATATATATTGATGTAGTGACTGATGCATAATTAGTCAAACTAGAATTTCAAGAAACAAGTAGCTCTCTGCGTTGTAAAGTATTTCAGAAATGCAGCTATGCATTTGGCTTCTTCAGCATACAGCACAGGGCAATGTAAAATATATTGATAAACATCCATTAGATGTTAAATGAAAAGAACAAACAAGAAGATCGGGAATGAAAATACCTTTGAATCAAAGATACCCGGAGGCTTTGAGTAATTTGGTTGCACTGCATTGAAATTGTAAAATGTTGGGCAAGTTGTGCAGTAAGGATCGTTGCACATTCCCAATTGTCCAGATCTCAGTAAATGCTCATTTTTGCCAGCTTTGTTATCATCTGACCAATCATTCTGATCTGCCTCATTAAAAGAAGGAAACTTTTCTACCTTAGGTTCAACCAATTGATGACCTGTTGCACCTTGATATGGATAATAAGAATTTCCAGGCTTTCGGTTAATATATAATGGACCACTCATCTGTATGAATGGAATTCTTCTTTCATTCCGCAGGGGGCCAGTATGGCCTACAAGGTTAGCAGTACTTTCATAAGACTCTATGGAGTTCATTGGAATAGAAATTGAAGCACTCCGAGTCCTGGAAAGAAATGTTTGAAATCGAGAATCTGGATTGTCATCTGATAGCACTGGTACCTCATCTCTATCATAACCAGCCATTTCTTAGATATTAAATCTGCAAATAAAATAAAAGTTAAGCTATACTGTTAACATAACTAGGGAATAGAAATCAGTAAAGGGAAACAACATATCATTCTGATAAATTAGGTCAATTATAAATAGTCATGTAAAATCACAAGAGCACACCATTCAGCAACCCATTAATGACTGGATACACTAGCTTATGTTAAGTTCTGAATTTTAAGAAAAAAAAAAGTTCCGAATTTTAAGATTAACAAGAGCTCAAATGCTCAAGGCATCCTAATTCTCAACTTCAAGTTTACCAAAAGAGAACAAAAAAAAAAAGTTCTGAATTTTAAGATTAACAAGAGCTCAAATGCTCAAGGCATCCTAATTCTCAACTTCAAGTTTACCAAAAGAGAACAAAAAAAAAAAAAAGGGGGAAGAAGAAGAAGCTTTCTTGATACAACCCACTAAAGTTCAGCTTGGCAAGTAACTCATTTGCAGAACAAATGTAAAGATGAAACCCATTTGACAAGAAATGGGAAAAGAAAGCAGGTTTAAAGCAATTAAGAGAAAAGGAAAAGAATTGAACCTCCTGAAGCAGAACTGGGAACTATTCATCACCCAAGAACAGATACCCAGTGCAGAAGATAACCGCTCCAGAGAAAAGGTCAAGGGGGAACAAAAATCAAACGTGTAATAGTCAACGAGATAAGATTGAAGGTAGGGGCAAAGACTATGAAGAATCACGTTTGTCTTTATACGTATCTCATTTCTTTCTGAAAGGACTGGAACAGGACAATGCTTGTTTGGAAACTTCACAGGGCAAGTGGTACACAGTGGACGAGTCAGTCAACGACTTTAACAAGCATGTAGCTGCGGATTCTGGAGTTGGATGCAAAACTGGAGCCCAAATTTTGGATTAAAAATTTTACACTTCGCATAAAAATAAAATAATAAGAATAAAATTAAGCCTTGAGTTGGAGTACATTGCAACAATGCAAAAAAACTCGCTTCAAAATCATTATAATTAATATTATTTTATATTTATATTATATTTTTTATAAAAA